GCAAGTAAAAATCTAGACAAGTTGAGAGAATTTGACTTATTCCAGAAAATGAACATTTTCTGAATTTGAATGTGTTTCTTAAACTGGAAGGAATCAGATGTGAACTGAGTCTGTTTGAGTGTATTCAGGGATTAAGAATAGACATTTCTAAGAACTCAAAGGTTTAGAATATTTTCCTTGTATTCTTAGATCTTTCAAATGCCATACATAAAATGTCATTTCTCTCTTTAGAGTCCCTTAAGATATATGATGAAATCTGTTAATTATCCCAACACCCTCAAATATTTTTCAAGTTTTACACAGTCTTTATTTGCCATTTATCTTGTGAATATCTCTCTTTAAAAAGAATATCCATAACTAAACCCCAAACTCCAGAAATAATTAAAGTGTAGCACAGTGCTTCCTAACCTAATTGCACACATAGAAAATGGTAATATTTGTGTGAAGTGACAGGTTAAGTGAATAAGGCTGCCTGTGACTAGTGGTTATCAGTTTAATATATGAGGAAGTATTGGTTCATTTACACTTCCTCATATTTGTGGCTTTGTAGTTCCATGGAACTAGTATTAGAAAATCATGTTATTGGATTTGCTACTGATCATACTCTAGACACTGTGTTTCTCCAAGTGCAATTGGAAACTAATATCATTATTAACCAGTCACTTACTTTGTGAGTTTTATTGAATTAAAAAAGAATTGATCCCTTATTCTTTTCAAGTGAATGGCACCCAAAGCTATGTCCAGTATACAAAGAATTAGGTTTTTTAAAATCTAAATTTTAAACATAAATACTCTTTGCTTTGCTAAATTTCAGTTTGTTCATTTCAACTGTTTTCAGTGTCTCTACTCATTTTTCCAGTTGCTGTCACCCTCAGGGTCTAGGTTGTACAAACTTGGAAGGTTTTGTTGATCACAGAGTGTGCGCTAAACCAGGGGGCATTGACAGTCTTCAAGCCCAACCTTCACTGAGAAAAGAAAAATTTGAGAGAAAGAGAGTTTGAGTCCCAGCTGCTCTTTTCTAATTGTACTACTTCCCATCCCCATTAAAAGTCAAATAAGCTAAAGGCCAGTAAGAAGTACCTTTGTCATTTTTAATGTTCAGTGATTTCATCTTATATTCTGCTAAATGACTTAAACCCAGCATAACAGAGTTTATGTCATTGCTATATTCACCTAACTCTTACATTAGGTGTATAAGATAGAACTTGGATCAGGACTAATAAATAACAGAAGACATTTTGAAACAAAAATTACAAAATATTCAGTTCCCTAGCTCTGAATCTATTAGGAGATCTGCTCAAATTTGCATGCCCCTCTGAGTCTTCACTCCAATTTTATTTTCATATTATGATTCTTTATAATGAATACTAGACCTCCTTAATATCAAGTTTTGAATTTCATAAGGTTAGTAACTGTGTTTTTGCAATTTTTATACTCTAAACTTCATTTTGTAGTAAAGTGCTGTTTCAGCAATTTTTGCTAAATTATTGAAGAAAGAAAGAAGGAAGGAGGTAGGGGAAGAAGGATGAAAAGGAGGAAAGGGAAGAAAGGAGTAAAACAAATAAAAAGATAAAAGGAAAAGAAATGAGAAAAAATGTTCTCAAGTTCTCCACCTAAAACATGCTGCTACATGAACTTTGTGTCACCCAGTAGTTCCCCAAACTGGCTAATCATCCGAATTACATTGGCAGCTTTGCTGATTATTTGTTTTATATTATTTTGGTTATCACATGTCAATATCTTTAAAATCTTCCAAGATTCTAAAAACTTTTAAGAAAATTTTTAAATATAAAGAGCAACTAAGAAAAGATTTAAAAATAAAGCATCAAATATTAGACTAAAAAGGAGGCACTGTTAATGATTTAACTAAAGTTCAGTTCAGCTCAGTTCATTTACTCAGTCATGTCCGACTCTGCAACCCCACGGACTGCAGCATGCCAGGCCTCCCTGTCCATCACCAACTCCTGGAGTTTACTCAAACTCATGTCCATTGGGTTGGTGATGCCATCCAGCCATCTCATCCTCTGTTGTCCCCTTCTCCTGCCACATTCAATCTTTCCCGGCATCAGGGTCTTTTCCAATGAGTCAGTTCTTTGCATCAGGTAGCCAAAGTATTGGAGTTTCAGCTTCAGCATCAGTCCTTCCAATGAATATTCAGGACTGATTTCCTTTAGGATAGACTGGTTGGATCTCCTTGCAGTCTAAAGGACTCTCAAGAGTCTTCTTTAACACCACAGTCCAAAAGCATCAATTCTTCAGCACTTAGCTTTCTTTATAGTACAAGTCTCACATCCATACCTGACTACTGGAAAAACCATAACTTGAATAGATGGATCTTTGTTGGCAAAAACATGTCTCTGCTTTTTAATATGTTGTCTAAGTTGGCCATAACTTTTTTTCCAAGGAGAAAGCGTCTTTTAATTTCATGGCTGCAGTCACCATCTGCAGTGATTTTGGAGCCCCCCAAAATAAAGTCTGTCACTGTTTCCACTGTTTCCTCATCTATTTGCCATGACATGATGGACCGGATGCCATGATCTTGGTTTTCTGAATGTTGAGTTTTAAGCCAATTTTTCACTCTCTTTCACTTTCATCAAGAAGCCCTTTAGTTCTTCTTCGCTTTCTGCCATAAGGGTGGTGACATATGCATATCTGAAAGTGAAAGTGAAGTAGCTCAGTGGTGTCCAGCTCTTTGCGACCCCATGGACTGCAGCCTACCAGGCTCCTCGGTCCATGGGATTTTTCAGGCAAGAATACTGGAGTAGGTTGCCATTTCCTTCTCCAAGGGATCTTCCCGACCCAGGGATCAAACCAGGGTCACCAGCATTGTAGGCAGATGCTTTACCATCTGAGCTACCAGGGAATCTGAGGTTAGTAATATTTCTCCTGGAAATCTTGATTCCAGCTTGTGCTTCAACCAGCCCAGTGTTTCTCATGATGTACTCTGTATATAAGCACGGTGACAATATACAGCCTTGACATACTCCTTCCCCAATTTAGAACCAGTCTGTTGTTCCATGTCCAGTTCTAACTGTTACTTCCTGACCTGCATACAGGTTTCTCAAGAGACAAGTCAGGTGGTCTGGTATTCCCATCTCTTTCAGAACTTTCCACAGTTTATTGTGATCCACACAGTCAAAGGCTTTGGCATAGCCAATAAAGCAGAAATAGATGTGTTTCTGGAACTCTCTTGCTTTTGTGATAAACCAACAGATGTTGGCAATTTGATCTCTGATTCCTCTGCCTTTTCTAAAACTAGTTTGTACATCTGGAAGTCCATGGTTCATGTACTGTTGAAGCCTGGCTTGGAGAATTTTGAGCATTACTTTGCTAGCATGTGAGATGAGTTCAATTGTGCTGTAGTTTGAACATTCTTTGGCATTGCCTTTCTTTGGGACTGGAACAAAAACTGACATGGATGTCACCAGATAATCAATAATGAAATCAGACTGATGGAGTCAAAGATGGAGAAGCTCTATACAGTCAGCAAAAATAAGACGGAGCTGACTGTGGCTCAGATCATGAACTCCTTATTGCCAAATTCAGACTTCAGTTGAAGAAAGTAGGGGAAAACACTAGACCATTCAGGTATTATATAAATCAAATCCCTTATGATTATACAGTGGAAGTGACAAATAGATTCAAGGGATTAAATTTGTTAATGTGCCTGAAGAACTATGGATGGAGGTTCATGACATTGTACAGGAGGCAGTGATCAAGACCATCTCCCAGAAAAAGAAATGCAAAAAAGGCAAAATGACTGTCTGAGAAGGCCTTACAATTAGCTGTGAATAGATGAGAGGTAAAAAGCATGTGGAGAAAAAGAAAGATACAGCCATTTGAATGCAGAGTTCCAAAGAATAGCAAGGAGAGATAAGAAAGACTTCCTCAGTGATCATTGCAAAGAAATAGAGGAAAACAATAGAATGGGAAAGACTAGAGATCTCTTCAAGAAAATTAGAAATAGCAAGGGAACATTTCATGCCAAGATGGGCACAATAAAGGACAGAAGTGGTAGGGACTTAACAGAAGCAGAAGATATTGACAAGAGGTGGCAACAATACACAGAAGAACTATACAAAAAAAGGTCTTCATGACCTAGATAATCACGATGGTGTGATCACTCACCTAGAGCCAGATATCCTGGAATGAGAAGTCAAGTGGGCCTTAGAAAGCATCACAATGAACACAGCTAGTGGAGGTGACGGAGTTCCAGTTGAGCTATTTCGAATCGTAAAAGATGATGCTGTGAAATTGCTGCACTCAATATGCCAGCAAGTTAACTAAAGTAACAGCATAGATAATAAGATAGAAATTTGATAAAATGTTCATGGTTGATAATTCTGTAAGTACCAATATTTATGAATTAGTTAGAGCTGTAGAGACAATTTTTTGGAGAATAGACAGAAACAAAAATCATCCAGAAATCAGTGTTCCTCTTAAACTTTATGAAATATCTCAATTATAAAATTCTTGAAGTTTATAATTTCTATTCTAGTTCAACCAGAATCATAGTTTGTCCTGCTGCTGCTAAGTCACTTCAATCATGTCTGACTCTGTGCGACCCTATAGATGGTAGCCCACCAGGCTCCACCATCCCTGGGATTCTCCAGGTAAGAACACTGGAGTGGGTTGCCATTTCCTTCTCCAATGCATGAAAGTGAAAAAGTGAAAGTGAAGTCGCTCAGTCATGTTCGACTCTCATCGAACCCAAGGACTGCAGCCTACCAGGCTCCTCCATCCATGGGATTTTCCAGGCAAGAGTACTGGAGTGGGTTGCCATTGTCTTCTCCAATAGTTTGTCCTAGAGTGGCAATAATTACTAAAGAAATCCCCACATTATGTATATCCTCTGATGACCAATGAAGATTGATCTCAGCAGGATTACTCTCTGCTGCACACACATGCACATACATATGTCCATAAATCTCTCTGTCACACCCTAACACAAAAGTACACTCATTTTCTCATTTTTAAACCTAGAACCTTCTGAGAAGAAAATGGACCCCGGAAATCACTCCTCAGTGACTGAGTTCATCCTCGCTGGGCTCACAGAGAAACCAGAGCTCCAGATTCCCCTTCTGGTCTTCTTCCTAGGAATTTATTTAGTCACGGTGGTGGGGAACCTGGGCATGATCTCAGTGATAGGGCTCAGTTCTCACCTGCACACACCCATGTACTATTTCCTCACCAATTTGTCCTTTATTGATTTCTGTCATTCCACTGTTATTACCCCCAAAATGCTGGTGAACTTTGTGACAGAGAAAAATATCATCTCCTACTCTGAATGTATGACTCAGCTCTATATCTTTATTGCTTTTATTATTGCAGAATGTTATATGTTGGCTGTAATGGCATATGACCGCTATGTTGCCATCTGTAACCCTTTGTTTTACAATGTCATCATGACTTATTATAGGTGCTTCCAGCTCACAGTGACAGTTTATATTTTGTGCCTCATTGAATCTGCAATCCATACAGGCTTTATGTTGAGACTCTTTTTCTGCAAGAACAAGGTGGTTAACCATTATTTCTGTGATGTCTTCCCACTCTTGGAGCTAGCCTGTTCTAGCATCTCCATGAATGAATTACTGGCTCTATTATTTAGTGCTTTTAATGTCCTGATTCCTGTTTTAACCATCCTTGCTTCCTACATTTTCATCCTCTCTAGCATCCTTCAAATCCACTCCACTGAAGGCAGGTCCAAAGCCTTCAGCACCTGCAGCTCCCATATCTCAGCTGTTGCTGTTTTCTATGGATCTGCAGCATTCATGTACCTGAAGCCTTCATCTGTGAGTTCTATGGACCAAGGGAAAGTATCCTCTGTGTTTTATACCTGCATTGTGCCCATGCTAAACCCTCTGATCTACCATCTGCAGAATAAGAATGTCAAATTTGCTCTGAAGAAAATTCTGGACAGTGGAAAATGTAGATGAATAGACTCAGTGTCATAGTATCATATCAGAAAAATACCTTTGGTTTGTTGAGATAGGCAATGTTTTAGTTTTATTCTTCAAATTTTTGGAAATTCAAAATCATTTTCTCATATAATACCTTTCCCAAATTCTCTCTGGGACATTTCCATTGAAACTGTGTTACAGTGACTATGTATGCAAAAATAACAAGAATAAAGTCAGACATTCTTAAGAATTAAAGAAGCTCCAGTTTGATTTTAAAAAAATACAAACAACAGCAACTATGATGATCATCATAAAATAATAACATACATGATTAAGATAGTATAAAATATCAAGCAGAAAGCCCAGCACTTTGAAGTAGATAACTTCATTTAGTATTTACAGTTTTCTCTCAGGGCAAACCCTAGCACTATTTTATTTTGAAAGCTGAATAAACTGACACTTATTTAGTTTCAGTAAATGTCCATGTTCCCAAACATAATAAATGACAAGAATCTAGAATATCTGGCTCCAGGACCTGTGATTTTACTCAAAATATATTGGCCCCAAGTAAACATGGGTAAGTCTAAGGCCTTACCAGTAATTTTCTTCTACACTTTAATCTACAGTTCCTTATAAGACTGTACTGCTTTCTTCTCCCTCTCCAATCCTAGTATCACTTTTGTTTCATTTGATATAATGAAGATAATAAAAATATCTCAAACCTGTCCTAACCAAGGAAAAAAATATCAGTTGGAGGGTTACTGCAGAATCTTATGATATAGTCTCACTAAAGAGATTCAAATTTCTATGCTCAACACTAACAATTTTTGGTGGTCCAAAAATTGCGGCCCAACACATTTTTTTATCTTTATACTAGTAATGCTGTATTATTTATGGAATAGCTACTTATAGTAGCCAAAACCCATAATTTATAAGCAATTGTCATTTCATGTCAGTTTCATCTTAGAATCATTTCTTCTTTCCTTTCATATGATTCCTTATTTGCTTCTGAACATTTTGTCATTGGGTTACTATAAGTCTGGGTCTTCTCTGATGCCTCAGTGGTAAAGAACCTGCCTGCCAATGCAGGACAAGTGAGTCCAATCCCTGATCCCTTGGAGAAGGAAATGACAACCCCCTCCAGTATTCTAGTCTGGGAAATTCCATGGATAGAAGAGCCTGGTGGGCTACAGTCCAGGGACACCAAAATAAAGTCGGGCATGACTTAGAGACTAAACAACAACAACTATAAATTCTCATGAAATTCTAAATACACAGCTGTCTTCTGTCTCTTCTCAGTTCAAACCATTGTACTCATTACTGACAGGTCAATGTTCTTTGGATAGTATTTAAACTTATTCACCTGTAGTGTCTAATCATAGAACAAAAATGCATATAATATTATTTATTATTTATTGTATTTAATTATGCATTTATTCATGGATGTCAGACATTGATTTTCCAAGTGCTCTCATATTATTTGACTTAGTTTTCATCAGTACTATAAAAGAAGGTAAATGGCTACAATTAAAATTCCTATCCTTTCAATTAAAATAAATTTTAAAAAAAATTAAAAAACTCCTACCATAGGCATAATTCCGACTCTGTTATATATATAGTCTAGAATATATATACATATATACATATATACATATATTCCTTCTAATGAATATTCGGGGTTGATTTCCTAGAGGATTAACAGGTTGGATCTCCTTGCAGTCCAAGGGACTCTCAAGAGTCTTCCCAACACCACCGTTCAAAAGCATCAAGTCTTTGGTGCTCAGCATTTATGGTCCAACTTTCACATCCATACATGATTACTAGAAAAACCAAAGCTTTGACTAGATGGACCTTTGTCAGCAAAGTAATGTCTCTGCTTTTTAATATGCTGTTTTGGTTGGTCATAGCTCTTCTTCCAAGGAGCAAGTGTCTTTTAATTTCACGGCTGCAGTCACCATCTGCAGTGTTTTTGGAGCCCAAGAAAATAAAGTCTGTTGCTGTTTCCATTGTTTCCCCATCTATTTGCCATGAAGTGGACAGGATGCCATGGTCTTAGTTTTTTGAATGTTGAGTTTTAAGCCAGCTTTTTCACTCTCCTCTTTCATCCTCATTAAGAGGCTCTTTAGTTCCTCTTCTCTTTCTGCCATGACGGTGGTGTCATCTGCACATCTGAGATTATTGATATTTCTCCCAGCAATGTTGGTTCCAGCTTGTGCTTCATCTGGCTCAGCATTTTGCATGATTTACTCTGCATACAAGTTAAATAAGGTATAATATACAGCCTTGACCTTTACCAAACTCCAACTCTCTTTCTTGCTTCTTTTACTCAGCACACTGATGTAGCTGTAAATCATAGTCTGCTCACCTATAAGGTGGAATTCCAGACACACATATTCCCCTTAAAATATCCCAGAATCCTGCAGCCACAGCAAATCCAATGCTAAAGAAACCGTTTAATGCATGGAAGTGGGGCATCTTACTTGAATCTGAAAGAACTCTGGGTAAGGTGTTCAAAACAAGAGATCGTCTACCCTTTGTTTTTTTTTCCAGTGGTCCATAGATGAGTAGCAGTGACAAGATCTGAGAGATTTTATGTAAAATGCATAATTTCAATCCATTTATAAGACTTACTATCAGAATTTGCTTTTGATCAAGATCCTTAGGTTATTCCAATGCACATTAAAGGTTTAGAAGTTTTCAAAACGTACTGATATGTTACATTATCCTCTAAAATTTTGACTTTATTGACATAGGGTGTACCCTGGGTATTGAAACAATAATAAAATAAACTCCCTTGTTTACTTGAAATGAATATCCAAAATTGAGAAACACTAACACATGCAAGTATAAACTGGTTATAATAATTGAACCAATATGTTTTAACTATATTTTATAGTATCTCTCCTCACTTGAGTCTCCAATTTACTTTGATTCAGTTAAATGTCAGATTATTTCCAGTTTTTTTATTTTGAAACAAAAAACAAAAATATGCAAGAAAATACAAAAATAGAAAGAATATGAAAATAGAAGGAATAAGAAACAAAAGTGCCTAATAAAATGTTTCTTTATATATGAAACTTAGCAACTAGAATGTTTAATAGTGAGGATCTCAAAAAATCAATAATTACATCAGTATTCTGAATTCTTACACCAAAACTTTAAATCCAACTATATGTATGTTTGAATTTTGAATCAATATTTATATTTCTATTTACATTAGAAGAATTAATTGTATTTTTATACAAGGTTAGTTAATTTTACTTCATTATTTTAAAATCTGTTGTCCTAGTAACATTAAGATAACTAGGGCAGAAATAAATGAAAGAGAAACAAAGGAGACTATAGCAAAAATCAGCAAAACTAAAAGCTGGTTTTTGGAGAAGATAAATAAAATAGACACCATTAGCCAGACTCATCAAGAAAAAAAGGGAGAAGAATCAAATCAACAGAATTAGAAATGAAAATGGAGAAATCACAACAGACAACACAGAAATACAAAGGATCATAAGAGACTACTATCAGCAACTATCTTCCAATAAAATGTACAACTTGGAAGAAATGGAAAAATTCTTAGAAAAGTTTAGCCTTCCAAAACTGAACCAGGAAGAAATAGAAAATCTTAACAGACCCACCACAAGCACAGGAATCGAAAATGTAACCAAAAATCTTCCAACAAACAAAATCCCAGGACCAGATGGCTTCACAGCTGAACTGTACCAAAAATTTAGAGAGGAGCTAACACCTATTCTACTAAAACTCTTCCAGAAAATTGCAGAGGAAGGTAAACTGCAAAACTCATTCTATGAGGCCACCATCACCCTAATAACAAAACCAGACAAAGATGCCACACAGAAAAGAAAACTACAGGCCAATATCACTGATGAACATAGATGCAAAAATCCTTAACAAAATTCTAGCAAACAGAATCCGACAACATATTAAAAAGATCAGACATCTTGACCAAGTGGGCTTTATCCCAGGGTTGCAAGAATTCTTCAATATTCAGAAATCAATCAATGTGATACACCACATTAACAAATTGTAAGATAAAAACCATATGATTATCTTAATAGATGCAGAGAAAGTCTTTGACAAAATTCAACATCCATTTATGACAAAACCCCTCCAGAAAGCAGTCATAGAAGGAACATACCTCAACATAATAAAAGCCATAGATGATAAACCCACAGCAAACATTATCCTCAATGGTGAAAAATTGAAAGCATTTCCCCTAAAGGCAGGAGCAAGACAAGGATGCCCACTCTCACTACTACTATTCAATATAGTTTTGGAAGTTTTAGCCATAGCAATCAGTGAAGAAAAAGTAATAAATGGAATCCAGATTGTAAAAGAAGAAGTAAAACTCTCACTGTTTGCAGATGATATGATCCTCTACACAAAAAAACCTAAGGACACAACCAGAAAATTACTAGAGCTAATCAGTGAATATGATTTCGGTGTTGACCGTTTGGTGATGTCCATGTGTAGAGTCTTCTCTTGTGTTGTTGGAAGAGGGAGTTTGTTATGACCAGTGCATTCTCTTGGCAGAACTCTATTAGCCTTTGCCCTGCTTCATTCTGTACTCCAAGGCCAAATTTGCCTGTTATTCCAGATGTTTCTTGACCTCATACTTTTGCATTCCAGTCCCCTATAGTGAAAAGGACATCTTTTGGGGATGTTAGTTCTAGAAGGTCTTTTAGGTCTTCATAGAACCATTCAACTTCAGCTTCTTCAGTGTTACTGGTCGGGGCATAGACTTGGATTACCATGATATTGAATGGTTTGCCTTGGAAATGAACAGACATCATTCTGTTGTTTTTGAGATTGCATCCAAGTATTGCATTTTAGAGTCTTTTGTTGACTATGATGGCTACTCCATTTCTTCTAAGGGATTCTTGCCCACAGTAGTAGATATAATGGTCATCTGAGTTAAATTCACCCATTCCAGTCTATCTTAGTTCGCTGATTCCTAGAATGTCGACATTCACTCTTGCCATCTCCTGTTTGACCTCTTCCAATTTGCCTTGATTCATGGA